TTGAATCACCTCCTMTATTTCTCTCTCCTACGCCCGCCCTGCAGGCTAAATGCCTCCAGAGCCATCTTTTTCTGTTGCTGTATGCAAGGCTGTGGTCTGCAGATAAGGGGTTTCAATAAATATGTGCCAGTTAACTTTAAGGACTGGGAAGCCAGGCACAGTGCACACACCTGTAAAGCCAGTGGCTCTGGAGGCTGAGGCAGGAGGATCCTGAGTTCAAAGCCAGCCTCAGCAAAACCAAGGTACTAAGCAATTCATGAGAGACCCTGTCCCTGAATAAAATACAAAATAGGGCTGGGGATGTGGCTCAGTGGTCGAGAGCCCTGAGTTCAATCCCCAGTACCAAAAAATTAAAATTAAAATTAAAAAAGGACTGGAAAGGTAAATTCTTTCAGCTCCTGGCAGTCTGATTAGGGTTGATGTGGAATAAAACACCAATTATTTGGGAAAAAATGTAGTAACTGTGGAAAAGATACTGCTCAGTTGAGAGGAAACTATCCAAAAGGGGAATCGGAAGTAATCAGGCCCCCAATATCYAGCCAAGTGTAACAAAATAAAGAGTATTTTTGTGTAAGAAAAACAAAATACCACTGTGGCCTGCAGGATGGACTCAGAGATGGGGTTCARCAGGACAGAGCATGCTCAGGGAGGACGCAGCAGAACGTGGTCCTCCCTGGAAGACAGGAACAGCTGTGTCTCTGGGAGGTGCCACCCAGGTCAGTCCCCTTGCAGGGCTGCYCAGAGCCTTCCCCAGCCGGGCCTTGATCTGGTTATGTGGGTGCCTAAGTGTGGTCTTCTGGTGGTACGACTCTTGCAGTGTTGTCTTCTTGTTGTCACTTACAAAACAGGAGGGTGCTCACTGGGGAAGAGGAGGCCCAGGAGCCCAGGGAAGCCCTGGGAGGGGCCCCAATCTCACTGGGTAGTGGCTTGTGCGCCACCTTGTGGCAGCCTGAGTCTAGACAGAAGAGCTGCTCCCTGGACTGCCAACCCCAGTCCAGGCCTGCGGGAGACTCAGGTGTGGGTGAGGAGCTAGTCCCCGGGCGGCAGAGTCATTACAGGTGATGAAAGCTTTCAGAGCWGAGAGTCCTCGTTTGAATGACAAGGACAGACGTCTTTCTCTGRGAACTCCACGTGATCCCAGGAAATATTCCAGACCATTAAAGCAGCTGGTGACTTTTTAGAAAAGGAAGCAAAGATGGCAAGTGTTGTCATCCTGGGTTCCCCAAAAACAAGCCAGAGCGCCTGGTTCTCAGTGTCTGTCGCCATAGACTGCCTAGACAAGGACAATGCCAGGGAACAAAGTGGCCCCACCAAGTCCCCGTGGTGTGGAACTGCGGAGGGCCAGGAGGAGTACCAGCCAGAGGTCGATGAAGCCCTTGACGAGCTGCCGGGCCCCAGGGCAAGTCAGAGAGGCCCACTTCACCCTGACACAGATCAGACTGCAGGTGCGCCAGGGACGCCGACGGGTGACGCCAGGTTGAACGACCCGAGAGGCTGCAGCAGCTGTGAACACCACGAGTCCCCAGTGCAACGTGGCCCCTCAGTACAGATGCCAGGCGGCGGACCCTGGAAGGCCCCTCTTGCTGCAGGATGAARAGCCCACGCTACCTGGGGTTCTGTCTGAAGGACGCTGACTGTGTTAACAGGGTTCCAGACAGAATGACCCCAAGGGACCCCAGGACCTGGTCAAGCAAGCCTTGAGGGGAGMTGTGGTRTACACCTGTAATCCCAGTGGCTTGGGAGGCTGAGGCATGAGGATGGTGAGTTCAAAGCCAGCCTCAGCAAAAGCAAGGTGCTAATCAACTCAGTGAGACCCCCGTCTCAAAATAAAATACAAAATAGGGCTGGGGATGTGGCTCGGTGGTTGAGTGCCCCTGAGTTCAATCCCCAGTATCCCCCCAAAAAAAGACTTGAGGGGAGGCATATATGTGAGCTAAATGCTTAAAAGACTGCTCCTGGCATATATACACAGTGGAATATTACTCAGAAATAAAAGAGAATAAAATCATGGCATTTGCAGGTAAATGAGTGGCGTTGGAGAAGATTATGGCAAGCAAAGTTAGCCAATCCCAAAAACAAATGCTACATGTTTTCTCTGATATAAGGAGGCTGACTCCTAGTGGGGTAGGTAGGGGGAGCATGGGAGGAATAGATGGACTCTAGATAGGGCAGAGGGGTGGGAGGGGAAGGGAGGGGGCAGGGGGTTAGCAATGATTTGTAATGTGATGACATCATTATCCTAAGTACATGTATGAAGACACGAATTGGTGTGAACACACTTTATGTACAATCAGAGGTGTGAAAAATTGTGCTCTCTATGTGTAATAAGAATTGTAATATATTCCTCTGTCATTTATTTTTAAAAAGTCAATTAAGAAAAAAAAAGACTGCTCCTGTGTACAAGGAACAGCGGTGCTRTTTTGCCCTGGATCCCAGTGTGAATCAGAGTTCAGAACCCGTGGACTTTCTAGAGAGCCAGGCCTTCTCTCCTGTCGCCCTTGTATGGGCAGAGGAGGGAAGGAGGTGGGGAGGTCCTGGCAGGTGAACCACAGGAGTGGATCAGACACCTTTGGAGGCTCCACCCGCCAGGCCTTGGATCCCCAAGGGGACATGCTGACCACAAAGCCTGCGCTGCATGATGGTCCCTGCTGCACTCCCTGAGGGCGGGTTCTCTCCTACCAGAGTGGACTCACTCWGTGTCACAGTGGTGCCTGTTGTTCTCCACAGCGGGGTGTCCACAAATACGTGCTGAAATGATTTCCTCCCTATGGAGCAGACTGGAGGCTGATTTCCCCAGAGGCCTGCAGCCCCGTGGCTGCATGAATTATTAACGACTGAGGACAAAGTAGCCCTTCTGCTGTGCCACTCACGGGGTAGCAGTGGGCTCTCCTAAAGGATCAGCGGTTTGAGGACTATCGTTTTGGGAACATTTATCTCACAGAAATRCTTTTAAGCGAGCATTAAGGTAGGTGCTCCAACCAACATCATTAGGGAAAGTAGGAGGGTGTGATCTCCGAGGCCAGACCATCTGAAAAGCCAGGTCCATGAGCAACTGGAGTACAGCCACGGACAGACAGACGCCGACCCCCTCTGAGTGTCGATTTCCACCTTGGGTAAAATATTACCCCACCCATGAAGGCATGAGAAGACTGAGAGAATGGAGATGCGCCAAGTCCCACGTGTCCCTGGCACAGAGGAAACAGCAGAGTTCACAGGAGAGACGCAGAGAGGACAGCACTCCAGAGAGACACGCAGCGGGAGCAGCTCRGAACGCCACTCGTCTCATATCAAGTGCTCTGCTGGTCTTTTTAACATGGCCTGTGCCTTTTAGCTGTCTGGATTTGTCACCAAGCAATTTGTCTGCCATAGAGTTCACAGGTCGCGGTGCCTACTGGTCCTGCCTTCTGTGCAGGCTGAGTCTTGATTGGGTTTGCAGCTTCCTCTCTGTCTCTCTGTGCAGGTAACTCCCAGCTGATCTGTTCTCTGTCTTGAGGCATTGCTATGGAGAAACGTAATGCCTAGAGCTGCTACAGGCACGTACACCCAGGAAGGGAGTCATTCAACATGTTGAGTGTGACAGCACCAAAAGATGGAGAGACCACCAGAGGCTGATCCTCGGGGACATCACCGAGCCACTGAGATCATCAGCCCTGTTCTGGAGACTAGGGAGATTGTGCACCCCCTTATTGGCTAAGCTACTGGACATTGGGTTTCATGGGTTTGCATTCATTAGCATACCAACCTTCGCACCTGTGCTGTCCTTCCTGAGGGCTTTCGTAAGTTGAGTGGAAAAATGTTGGATCACACTTTACTCTAGAACTTTGTACCTTCGCTTCCTTTCTATCTAGCATGGGAAGCTACCGCGGAGGACACTGAAGCTGCCCACTCTCTCCCACCTAGTCTCCTTGCTGTCAATAATGGATCCAGGATATCTCTTCCAGTTGGTAGTTCTACACCAGGTTTTCCTGGAACATAGTGAGAAATTTTGATCTGCAGATTCAATTCTTTTATTTCAGAAATGTTTCCTTATATCCCTGGGGGGGAAAAAATCTCAAGTTGAAGTCTCTTTTTCAGGAACACCAACTAACCCTTTCATAATTACTTAAATGTCTTCATCTTTCTACTCTATATTCACTGTCATTTAGTCAAGCCCAAMRTCAGGAATTCAACTAAGTTATGATYAGTCTATTTYTTGGTTTCTCTRACTTATTTTCTGTATTGAAATATTTATTCTTTTCGTTTGATTTCCTTAGGCATGTAATCTTTTCCTTCTCATTCTGTTGTTTTCTACTCTCTCATTTTATTAAATTGATCTCGTGTTATTATTCTAAAACATGGAGCACATGTAAAAAATTTTATCTATTTGGTTCTTCACCTGTCTCACCAAGCTATAAATCCTTTTTTATTCCATTTTTATTAAAGTCTTAGATAGTGAATATGCTGCTTCTTTCTATCTTATTCTATGTAACATGGGTTGCTCTTGGCAGATCTTTTATTTGTTCAAATATCATGTGAACGATTTCTCTTGGGCTTCCTTTCTGAGTGCCTTGAGCAGCCGAGATGTTGCAGTTTCTATTTTTGCAGGACCTGAAAGTAGCGATGGCTCGAGAGGTCCTGCGGCCCRGGTTCATGGTCATTTTTATGCAATGACCTCCCCACGCTCTTTCCCCTGCATTAGCTCCGGACACGTCCCTGGAACCGCAGACTCTAACTGCGGTCAGAGTCGTCACTAAGATGGCCAGGAGAGCGCTCATGGCGACTCACTAATAACTAGCATCCACGGCCCTCAGTCGTGGTCACTGGGGCCCGGAAGGGCAGCGTCTGCACCCAGCCCAGAAGAGATGCCCAGTAGAGTGAGCCAGGAACGGCGGCCACGCCCGCATCCGGGACGGAATGCCGACGGTCAGAGCCGGSGGGACCTGACCCCGGGCCGCGGGGCCCGGCGGGATGGAAACGGGCGACCCGAAGGCGGCGCGGCCCAGACCCGCGCGGTGGCCGGCTCCGCGGAGCATCCCGCCCGCGTTCTCCGGAGGTCCAGCGCGGTTGCCGCGGAGACCGCCCGGCCAGGGACTGCGCAGGCGCAGCGTCCCGTTGCTAGGACAGCCTCGAGCCGCGGAGCCGCCAGGGAAGTTCCGAGCCTGAGGCGCCTTCCCCGGAGCCTGCCAGCCCRGCTCGGTGCCTGCTGCGACCACAGCTCCCGCCGGGGCCCTTCCCTGCCTGTAGTGAGGGGCTGTCCCGCTCCCACCCTGCCCAGCACCGCGACCTGCGGGGTCCCCGCAGTGGCCAGCCTCCAAAGGCAARGGCAGAGTTCCCGGTGGGCCAAGGAAAGGGGAAGTCGCCAGCCATGTCGAACGCGTAAGTGTGGGTGCCCCAGCCCGGGGCACTTCTCCAAGCCAGGAGTGGCCTGCCTAGCTCCTTTCCTGTCTTCTCCCCTCCGTCTCCTCTTTCCGCTCTTCTCCACTGCCCTTCCCTCTTTTCCCTTTGTAACAGATTCAAATTCAGATGTGCCTGAGACTGGAGGATCAGCTTCTTGTGGACAGGGAGTGTGGTACCCTGAGATCCCCCGACCCAAAGAGGAGCTCCACCAGGTCCTCACTCAGGCCCCAGGTGCCCCTGAGGTCGAGGAACCTCTGTTGGTAATCCACAGTGATAAAYGGGCCCTTGTGTGAATGCCCAGGTCCCGAAGCCTCAATCAAGAAAGATCTTGAGGAGCTCCCTTCCTTGGCTTTTCACCGTCCCTGGTGCAGTGCTGAGAGGCCGTCCCTAGCATGTGCCTCGGGCACAGCCCTGCCCTAGTTTCCTTGTTTGGAAACAAGTCATTTCAAACATGGATTGCGGACTCGGGACCACTGCTAGAAGTCCCTGAAGTACAGCAGCTGTCCTCACCCCCACAGCCACTCTGCAGTGTTGGCTGTTAGGGTTCCATTCGCAGTAGCTTAGGTGCAGAGGCAAGTAGYTCATGCAGCAGGTGGAAGGTGTGGCCCCGAAGCCGCAGTCCAGCCACAGTCTGGCTGTGACAGCCCTCTCTTCTAGGCCAGGAAACTGGAGCAGAGGGCTACAGGATSGCCAGGGTTTGGGGATGGGGGAGATCAGGAGTTTGGCCTGGAACCTGTTGAGTGCAGTTGAATACTCAGGCTGCCTGGTGGAAACAGCAGTCTTCGCCCCTCTGACTTCAAAGGCTGTAGCACTTCTAGGCCTCATGGCCACGTCGGAAACCACCACACTTGTACAAATGCTGAGTCCCACAGATGAGTGCTGCCTTCCCTTTGCCAAGTGCATGTAAAGTCTCAGGAGCACTGTCACATGTCTTGTGCTGTCCCACAGTGACCCTCTGAGCAGGTGTCGTTATCCAGGTTTGCCACTCAAGGAGGCGTGRGCACAGGATGAGAGGTGGCAGCCTGGCATGGACGCCCTCGTGGTAGAGTCTCTTGAATCCCAGAGCACTCTCTGTCAGTACACGGGATTGAGCCCGGGGCACTGWACCACTGGGCCACGTCCCAGCACTTTTTATTTTGAGACAGAATCTTGCTGAGTTGCTTAGGGCCTTGCTAAATTGCTGGGACTGGCCTCGAACTTGTGTTCCTACAGCCTCAGGCTCCCTAGTGGCTGAGATTACAAGCTTGTACCACAGCGACTGGTTTCTATTTTAAACCTTTAGCATTTTCACCTTGAGAAATCACCTTGCCAAGACCAGGAAAATACACACATGCGTCCACACAAACACTYGTGCCTGAATGCTTATGGCGGCCCTGTTTTTAGCGGCCAGTGTGGCTGAGTAGAGAACCCTGTGGAGGCCCCACAGGCTGTTGTGACTGAGGCACGGTGGCCAGGCCCCTGGCACTCCGGTGAGTGATGGGGTGGCCCCCCAACACCATGTGGAGAAGAGTCACATGGAGGGGTCTGGACAGGAAGACAGAAGCCACAGTCAATCCCTGGAGAACAAGGCTTGGTGGAGGAGATGGAGGCCTCTCAGAGCTGAGGAACACAGGTGAAGGTGCCCGGTCCCTTCAGACAAGGGACCCTCAAAAGGCAGCAGGCAAGGAAGAAGAAGGCTCAGCCCAAATGGCAGGACCTGGGAGGCCCAGCCACCAGACGCCTTGGGCTAGAAGTCCCAGTTAGGACCAGCCCTGCAGTGGCCTGGGGAACTGCCTGCTGCCTGACCCCTGGGCAAGCACCTGCGTGAGTGCCCTTAGCTACAGCAGGGCTCCAGGCCGGGCCTGCCCACAGCAGCTGCAGCCCGGGGTCCCTGGGAAAGCAGCAGTCCCCTCAGCCCTTGCTCTTTGTGAGGTTCAGGCCTCCCTCCTGCACCCTCCTGGAGGCAGCCTCCTGGCGTGGCGGCTCCCTTACTGTGTTGGTGAGTTAAAAGTTGTGACGTTGATAAGACACCTTTTAGCTTTCCCTGTCTGCCCCACCTGGTGTTTAAGACTCATGACTAGATTTACTTAGTGTTCAGTGTGTCCTTACTAGATTCCTGGCAAATCCACAAGCCGGTCTCGAGACCTGCTGTCTTCATATCTTATCTCCCCAGGCAGGACCTGACACCGCCTTCTGCTTATTCGGATCTTCTCCATTCTAGAATGTTGATTCACGAGGCCTTATGTGGCTCCCACCATGGTAATTCTTAAAAAGTTAGTGGTCTTTATTGGAACTGGGAATGGGATTTCTTTATCATTCTCTTCTCCACAAATGGATTGCATAGGTTTTGTCTAAGTCTTTCAATGGTGCAGTGCTCATTGACTTTTGTTGTTGTTGTTGTTGTTACTGACTTCCTTGGATTTTAATTCATTCACAAATGGTGGTGTTAAACATCTTTTATAGTTGAGTCCTTGTATAATTCCTTTTAAAAAAWTATTCCTCCATTTTGAGGAGCGTCCCCCGCATTGCTCCGGAGGAGATCTCATTGGTCCATTCTAGCACTGTGGTCACCCTGCTCCTGGGCCTGTGAGGGGGCTTCTCACTCACGTGTGGACTGTGAGTCGAACTTCATTGAGCATTGGTGGGAATACGCCAGGGTCTTACCGTTCTGCGGAGGAGCTGGGGCCCCCAGCATGGGCTGCGGGCACCCTGGGCTCTTGGCCTTGGTCGGAGAAGGAGGCTTCTGGGGTGGTGCTGTGCTCTGTTTGCTAAGTGGGGCTTCAGAGCTGAGTTCCAGATGAGATCAGCCTGTGCTTTACCTCGTGTTGTCCCAAACCCTGTTGAGTTCAGAAAATGAATAGAGCACTCTTTTGGTTCTATGCAACAGTGCAGGGTCCTTCAATGCATGTGGCCTGTGTGCCCWCTGAGGTCAGTGACCAAAGCAGGTGGCTGTCCCTTCCAGATTCTTCGAGTCTGGGCATTGGCAAGCCAAGACCGTACTCCACTTCTCACASCCCCAGGACTCTGAGTCCTCCAGGTGGAGTTGGAGGAGCTGCTGGGCATTGTGTGCAAAGCCTGCGGTCATCTTTGAGGCGATGGCTTTGCCTCCTCCTGCCCTCTCCTGTCTGCTTGTCTTCTTGAGAGTGGCAAGCAGAGGCCAGCATATCCGGGTGACTTAGACAACTGTAAGCCTTGCCTTTGTTGTTACTGTCCTTTTGAGGACCGTTTTTGCCGTTGGCCAGTAAGTAACATAATTATTAACCACTGATTGTGCAAGGAGTGAAATGTCCCACCCTAAAGGAATCCTAACTTTCCCATAATAATGGTCCCTTTTATAGTAAAGCCATCTGGCAGAATGCCCTTTCCCTATCAACTTCTTCTAAACATGGCTGAGATTTGAGAAATCTTGTGCTTGAACACACTGGAGGTGGCGCACCAGGGGCAGCATCCAGCATCCTAACAGTGGGCTGCTGGGGAGGGAGGGAGAGTGGGGTGCTAGGGGAGGGGGAAAGAGTTTTGCTGTTTTGAATCTCTTGATCTTTGTTCTCCTGTGGTGGCCACCACACCTGTCCTCCATATCTGATCACCCTCATTTGCTTCCTTCCTGAAGAATTGAGAGTGGAAAGTTTGGTGGTCAGAGTGGAGGATCTGGAGTCAACTGCCAAGGTACAAATCCTATGTTCAGATTTATGATTTGGGCAATAATTTCTGCGTGCCTCCGTTTCCTCATCTGCATGCTGGAGTGATAATTTRCCTGCCTCACAGGGACATTGTGAGAATGACATGAGTTCTTGTATGTAAAGCACACAGAACAGAGGCTCACAGTACAAAAACTTAAGTCACCATCATTGTCACCTGAACCTTGAAACACTTTTCACATYAAGGTGCACTTTAAACTTTTGGCCAAGAAGATGAAAAAAACCCACGTGATCAGTGYTTCAACAAACAATTCCTGCAACATTTCTCACTTGCAGGGAAGTCTGGAGCGCTTTGGAGGGACAGCAGGTGGCGGGCCTGGGCAGAGGGAGCAGAGGTAGGGCCCAGCACTGAGCCACCGAGGGCTGGGAGCCAGGTGCCTGGACGGTGTGTCTACCTACACTGTCGCCTCCGGGGTCAGTAAAGGGTTGACAAGGTTGTGAGCTCAGGGGTCAAGGGGAATGTAGAGAGCCTGGAGAGGTACCAGGAGATGCCAGGGAGGGACAGGCAAGAAGGGAGAGTCAGAGGAGGTGGACCTGGRCACACCTGGGGCCAGGAACCAGCAGCTCCTCTGCAAGGGGGAGCCCTGGTCTTCTGAGGGGGCTGAGAATAGGGGAGTGGTTGTGATTCACTTGCCCTGGGTTTGCCTTTGTTGCTACTGTCCTTTTGAGGACCGTTTTTGCCATTGGCCAGTAACATAATTATGAACCACTGATTATGCAAGGAGTGAAATGTCCCACCCCGAATGGGAGCCGGTGGCTAACCTGTGGAGAGTCTGGAGGCCAGGCGCAGGGCAGCATGGAAGAGCCTCCAGACAGGCAGGCAGGAGGACGAGCATCCTCAGCCCTCTTGGTCCACTCCCCAGCCAGGGGAGGGGCCGCCCTCTCCACTGAGCTCGGGAACACCTCACAGACAGCCATTCCCCTCATCCCAAGGAAACCAGGGACAGGCCTGTCACCCCGTCCCATGGGGAAGTCCCTTCCCATGGACCTCCAGTCCAACTTTGTCTTGTTCTTGAATATAAAAGAGCCAGAACCCACCCCAACCTGGACCCTCATTCATCTCTACCGTGACTGTGTTGGTCAGGGTGCCACAGGACAAGCAAGCACCTTGAGTGGGTCTGGTAAGTGGCCAGACAAGGGCGTGGACAGAGTCTAGGGAAACCAGCAGGTGGCAACAGGAGGAGGGAGGCCCTCTACTACCTGCCAGGGAGGCAGTGGGACTGTGCACACCTCACCGTCCTCCCCACCTCTCAACCCCAGCATGAGGCAAGAGGGCCTGGCTGGAGCAGGCCAGCAGCCCAGGCCTCGCTGCACTCCACTGTGCTTCAGATGCTTGTGGATGTTGCCTTGAGCTCTCGTCCACTCACCAGTTTCCACTTCTGTGTGACATACACAGCCACTGGTGACCATGCCACAATTCATTTATCTGCCCTTTTGGTGAGGGACATTGGGTTATCTCTGTTTATGCTATGACACCACTTGTATTCAACATAGTACTTGAAACTCTAGCCAGAGCAATCAGACAAGAATAGGAAATTAAAGGTAATAGATGGGGAAAGAAGTCAAATTATACGTCTGCTGATGACATGATTCTATATGTAGGAGACCCAAAACTCCCCTGAAGACTTCTAGAGCTGATAAATTCATCAAAGTAGTAGGATACAAAAATCAACCTACAAAAGTCAATAACTTTCTTATATTCAATAATGAATCTGCCGAGAAAGAAATCAGGAAAACTGTTCAGTTCACAGGGACCTCAAAAAAAATGAAATACTTGGGAATAAATCTCTCTAAGGMGGTAAAAGACCTCTATCATGAAAGTCATAGAGCACTGAAAAAAGAAATTAAAGAAGACCTTAGAAGATGGAAAGACTTCTTATGCTTGTGGATTGGCAGAATTATCAAAATGGCCATGTTATCAAAAGCCATATAGAGATCAGTGCAATACCCATCAAAATACCAATGATATAATTCATAGAATTAGATTTTAACAAGTCCTAAATTCATTTGGAAGAATAAAAGACCCAGTGTAGCCAAAGCAATTCTGAGCAAGAAGGGCCACGCTGAAGGCATCACCATTCCCTGATCTCAAATTCTACTGCAGAGTCCAGTAATAAAAACAGCATGGAATGAGCACCAAAACCGACAAGGAGACCAGGGGAATAGAATAGGAGACACAGAGACTAAGCCTCACAGATAGTTTCCTAATACTCAACAAAGACTCCAAAAACATGTGGTACAAAAGATAGCCTGTTAAACAGTCGGTGCTGGGGAAACTGGACATCCACATGTAGAAGAGTGAGACAAGAGCCCTGTGTCTCATCACTACAGAAGTCAACTCAARGTGGATCAGAGACCTGGGAATCAGACCAACTGCTGGACGAAAACACAGGGTCAACACTCCCGCATTTTGACTCAGGCACTGACTTCCTTAACATTACCCCTAAAGCCAAGGAAATGGAAACGAGATGTCATCAAGTTTAAAAGCTTCTGCACAGCAGAGAGAACAAGAGCTTGAGGAGAGAGCCTGCAGAATGGGAAAATCTGCACCAGCTAYTCCCCCGACAGGATTAGTATCCAGAAGATGTGAGGAACTCGAAAAACCTAACACCCCAAACACATAATCCTCTCAATAAATGTGCAAAAGAACTGAACAGGTGTTTCTCAAGAAGGAATACAAATGACCAASAAATACATGAAAAATATATGTTTGACATCCTTAACAATCAGGGAAATGCAAACCAAAATCACACTGAGTTTTCATCTTCTGTTAGAATGCCAGTCATCAMGAATAYGARCAATAACAATGCCCGTGAGGATGTGGGGGGAAGGCACACTCAKACACGTTGGTGGGATTATAAATCAGTACAACCACTGTGGAAAGCAGTATGGAGATTCCTCAAAAGATCAGGAATGGAACCACCACGTGACTCAGCTGTCCCACTCCTGGGTAGTTATTCAAAAGAACTAAAACCAGCATACTACAGTGACACAGCCGTATCAGGTTTATAGCAGCACAAGTCACAATGGCTGAGTTATGGAAMCAGCCCAGGTGCCCATCGACAGACTAAGGGATAAAGAAAACGTGGTATGGACACACAATGGAGTTTTACTCAGCCACGAAGAAGAATGGGACTGTGGCATTTGCTGGTGAATGGACAGAACTGGAGGGCATCATACGARGTGAGATAAGCCAAGAAAGATAAGGGTTGAATGTTTTCTCTCATATGCAGAAGCTGGAGAAAAATCAGGGGAGGATACCATGAAAATAGAAGGGAGATGAGTGGAGCAGAGGAAGGGGGTWGAAGGGGAGGGAAGAGGGACTGGAAAAGACAGTCTGCAGAATGARTGGACCCAGCTGTGCTATGTACATATGTGAGTCTACCCCAGGGAATTGTACCTTTATGGATACCTATAAAGCACTGATTAATAAAACAATAACTACAGAGAAGAAAGACCAGTAGAGGAAGGAGAAGAGGAGAGGGAGGARAGGAGGGAAATGGCAGGATTGGGGATTGAAATAGCACAAAATAGATTCCATGCATGTATGAATATGTCAAAATGAACCCCACTATCACATATAACTAGTGCACGAATAAAGAATWTTAAAAATACTACTCTAAATATCCTCAATGCACATTCACAAATTTCTCTGCAAATATTATTCATAGAGTCTGCACATGTTTAACTTTACAAAACAAAGTTGARTGAYTTTCMAAAATGGTTGYTGTARTTTATACCCCATCGACTATGTATATGGATAAACAGTGAACCATTCTGGACCTCAATCATTTTATCATTTACATTAATTTAATAATACTGGCTTCACATTATGGTGAGGAACAACTCTATCATTTAGGATAGGACTTTTAAAATTTCTTGTTTATAATAATAGCAGTGGTCAGATCTAAAAAAAACCACATGCACATCCATACAGGACTTTATTGTSTAAACAGCCTGCAGCCGCCACGTGCTGCGAGCTCACACCTGATTGTGCGTTCTATTTTGTTAGACCAGATGGCAGTATGTTTCCCTGACAAAATAATTCTCATCTGCTCACCTGTCTGAACCCTGTGTCCTCCCGCAGAATGTATAATAAAATGTGGCACCAGACCCAAGAAGCCCTCAATTCTTTGCTTGATAAAGAGTCTCAGAAGCTGGTGGAGCAAGAGAAGAATCCTGTCTACATTTTCCAGATGTTGGCCACCTTTTACATAAAGTATGTGCAGATCTTCAGGAACCTGGAGAATGTCTACGACCAGATAGTCCACCCACAGAAGCGACTGCTGATCCGGAAGATCCTGGACGGGACGATGGGTCGCATCCTGGAGCTGAAGAACGACATGGTGGAGCTGGAGTTGTCTGAGTTCCATTACTTTGATGATATCTTACAGGACCTGAAGTTGGCCCCTGTAAGTACTCTGTTGGTTCTTTCTTCTTATTTTCCTCTCACTGTTAATAAGGCGTGTGGGTCTCTACCGATATTCCGCAGGCCCTGTGGACGCATTTGCCTGGATTCGTTTGGTGTGCTCAACACCTAAACGTTAGCGTCACGCTGTCACCGCTGAGTCTTAGTCCCCTTCCTTCTTGATGAGGGTGAGAGTCTGCACCATCCTCTGGTCTGTTAGGAATGGGGTGTGGGCCAGGACCGTGGGATTAGAGGGGACCCACCTGCCACAAACCCAGAAACACAGACCCTCCCAGTCTTCCTGAGTGTGCCCTGCTCTCTGGATCCAAGGAAGTTCCCCTCCGCCCCTCCCTGCTGGCAGCTCCTAACCCCCCCTCTGGGCAGTTAGCCCTGGCCACTGTCCTCTGACCTTTGCTGCTGACCCCCACCCAGGGCTTCTGCCGGTGTTCTGTCTGGCTGGGTGTGCAGGGCCGTTGGACGCCCACCACTTAGGAGCTATCTGCCTATGAGCTTACCCTTCATTTTGAAAGGAAGGTTTCCACAGAATAAAACCAAAAGGAGAAAATGTTCGATTTTTACATTGGAGTGTAGTGTTTCTTTGCTTTGGAAGTGTTTTGGCTTTCCCAAAGCGTCATGCTTCTTTCTGGGATGTACCCCCTTAGTTTTGTTGGTCAATTTTATCAGGATGGACTAAAGAAAATACTGAAATCAACAAAAATGTTGAAGAACRTTCCTAAATTAGTGTGGCCCTAGCTTTCACCCATAAGCTTCTAAATTAAACCATTGGATTTAGGCAGGTGGGTTCACTCACCAGGTGAAATGTGAATGACCTAGGATAAATGTGAAACAAGCAGTTCTTCAACCCTACTCTCAAATCTGATTAGTCAAGTAACATCAAATTTACAAATTTAACTTCAGAAATATAATAAATGCTGCCCCTAAATGCAAGGACCAATGAGTCTATGGGGTTTATGTGGGGCTGCTTCTGTTTCTCCCCTGTCCACAGCCAGCTGGCCTCTCTGCCTTGGTCATCTCCTAAAGGCCAGGAGCAGCTGCTGTCACAACAGAAGCCACTGGACACCAGGAGCATCCCACAGGGCAGACAGCAGCAGGAAGCCTTCATGGTGGGGGACTCTCAACAGTGACTGAGCCGTGGGAGGTGACAGGCAGCCAGGGGTTCGCCCAGCAGCCGCAGCACAGCCGGAAGACCATGAGCCAGCTCCAGGGACTGTGTGCATTTCAGGTGCAGCCACCCAGCACCCTGTGCAGTTTGGCCTCTGTGACTGTCACTCACATAGCCCTCTCTGTGTTTTGCTGGCCAGCACCCAGCTGCTTGTCCAGTAGGACCCTGTGCCCTGGTCACAGGTGGCCAATGCACTGAGAGGCTCTGGGTGGCTGTTCCAGTCAGGCCCTCCCTCGGAGTTCCTGAACCGGCTCAGAGAGAGCCAGACCAGCTTCCATCTCGAGGTCTGAACTGTAGACCCCCAGATGTCTCAGGGTTAGAGCTSGGTCAGCCAGGTGCTCTGGGGAATGGAGGGAGATGCTCTTGGCGAGAAAGAGGGAACCAGAGACAGCAGAGAGCAGAAGGAGCAGCAGAGCCTTCCCCGGGGCCTGCCCTTGGTTCCATGGGGTCCCCAAGTCTGTCCAGAAGTGTCCCCTTTGGGCCAAACTATCCAGAAGCCTGTTTCTAGAACCTTCTCTCTAGGTCCTCCAGCACAGAGGGGTGTGCGAGGAGAGAGGGCCTCTGTATTTGGGCACTGGCAGTGTCCTGGATGCACTCCGTGGAGAGCTGAGGCTGGGTATCTGCACCTAAAAGGGGCCATGATGGACACCCAGCACCTCTGCCCCGCTTCCATGCTCCACTGCTATCAAGGCCTAACTGCCAAACCCTCACTATGATTTTGTGGTCCCAAATGGGCCAGATGGAGTCATGGCAATAAAATTTTTGCCTTAGAATTTGGAACAGCGCATCGTACATGTTTCTTAATTAATAACTTCCCAACATTAGATAAAAGTGCCATCATTCCTCTCTGCCTGCCCTCCCTCATAGGGCACACTCACCCCCCGGGCCCTGGAGCTCACCCCCAGATCACCTCCCAAACTCCATTAGCCTGTAAAAAGCCGTTGCCACCTTCCAGAATTCCAAGGATCTGTTCTTCTCAGTCCTAAAGATGATACCCCTTATGCTTTCAAGCTTATTTAGGAGAATTCCTGTCCAGAATTCTCTGGGGTGAGGGGAGTCACACCCTGATTTGAATAAAAAAGGGAAACTAACCCTAGAGACCATAGCCTTGGCTTGTCCCGTCAGCTGGTCTACCTGGAATTAGCCAGGCATGATGGACAGGATCTGGGACAACCTTCTCACTGGGCCAAGAGTCCACATCCTTGAATAGACTTCTGTGTTCCTCATCATTGAACTTGGACTCGTAAGTATTTATTTGACCTCTACTAGTTTGAAATATTTGGTAATATTCTTCACACAGGTGAAGGATAGACATGCAGACTGATTGTGTCAAAAACAAGTTTTCTGACTGCTACAGTCACCCAGAGCCTCTAATTTCACAACTAATTTTTGAATGAGGTAATTTAGATAAAAATAAAACCAAATTATTAGAAAAGATTATGGTCTTCTGCATACCAATCGTCAGTGGTGCTAATTATAATTTATTAGGTTTAATTCAAAGACCTCTACGACCCTCCTGATTTGAATAATTATTTTAGAGACTGAGAGAATATTATGTTTCTTTAAAGAAATTGATAAGGTAATCATGAGTTCTTCGAGGCCTATTTGGTGTGAATTCCTGAGGTTGTAGTTAGGATATTCCTTCTGTGGAGGTCTCCTTGGGAGTAATGCTTCTCTGCACTCCAGGGCCTCTCCGTCTCCCGTGTGAGCTGGGCAGTGCACCACGCCCCTTCACCTGCTCATCATCACCTGCTCATCATTTTCATGAGCTCTGAGTCCTGGTACCATGACTAAAGTGCTCTTTTGCTTATTTTTTCCTCTTCTAGCAACAGTTGGATATTCCCATCCCCAAGTACTTTTTGAAGGAGAAAATAGAAGTAATAAGAGAAAGAAAGAAAATCCTTGCTCAGATATTAGCTGACAGTGGATTAGACGCAACTAGCATGGTTTGTATCATTTTAACAATTTTCTTAATAATCTGTATAACTTCTGTTTCTTTCTTTAGCTCCCCATTGTGTGAGAAGCAGATTGTTTTCAATTTGAGGAGAGTTACCCCCTCCCCTTGTTACGTGCAGCATATAAGACGTTGTGTAACTTTGGGATGTATTTTTGGTGACACATAATCATTATTTTCCAAGGGATTAAATATAGAGATCAAAATAAAATGCTTTGTTGGTTAAATTGTGATCCCTAAGACTGGGCCGATTATCAGCTCATCTTAATAGGCCTTCTCAGGTCCACCCAGCTGAAGCCAGCATTCACATAAAACGGGCAGTCATTCCTATAAAATGGTCAAGTGCCAACATGACTCCCCGGGAACCTGAAAACCCGGATGCTCTCTCAAATGCTCATGACCTCTGATGACTTCAAGTTGAGTGGCACTTGCATCTCCTGGCATGAGTCATATGTGGGGAAGAGAAAGAAGATCCTTAAAGATTCCCCAGAGGGCCCAGAGCAGGGTCCAGGCAGCTCTCAGCCCATACCTCCCTCGCCCCCATCTCCAGCCCCACCTTTGCCACCAGAAGACACCTGGAATCTCCCTAGGCACCATGACCCAGGTGGCAACGCCCAAGGGGCCCACTTGCAGGAAGACCACAGGTGCCAGCTGTTGCCGTTGCTGTCACCTCCCACCACCTTCTCTGGGTTTCTGCAGTTACCCCTCCATGAAGCCTCCTTTGGGGGCAGGGACAGTCCTTCTCTGCCAGTCCTTCACATGTGGCCCTGCCTGTCCGCCTCCTGGGATGTCTACTTATGCATGTCACTGACTTGCTGGCTGTGAACTCAGCGCCCTGTTCCCCTGGATGATCCTCATAGCTCATGCAGCAAGACAGCAATTGGCCATCCAAACTGGGGCAGTACAAGTGACCCATGGAGATGGCCGGGGAAGACCAGGGTACAACGGCAACAGCTGGCACCTGTGGTCTCCCTGCAAATGGGCCCCATTGGGTGTTGCCACCTGGGTCATTGCCGCGTCCCCTCGCCAGCAAAGGAAACACGACACAGGATTCTTCCTTCAGCAGTTTATTCAGGCCTTTATTTTGACATGTCTTCTAGTTTCTACTTCTACTCCTACTGCTACTTCTACTGCTACTCCTACTACTACTTCTACTACTACTCCTACTACTGCTTCTACTACTACTCCTACTACTACTCCTATTACTACTTCTCCTGCTACGTGCCCCAGCCCTAATAAAGCAGATAAAGCCCCAATGCACAACTGCCACGTGGATCTTTCTCATAGGGTGTTTTACAGCTACGTGCCAACTCTCCCAAAACAAGGAGTTGTTTATCACAGGCCACGGCGCTTATCAGCGCCATCTTGTAATGGCGGCCACAGTACACAGAAACGGCTCACTACAGGTCATGGTGCTTAGGGAGATTCCAAATGTCTTCTGGGGATGGTGGGGCAACGGTGGGGCTGGAGATGGATGAAGCCAACCCAGCTCCAAGCTGCAGAGGACTTGTTCTTTCCCTGATATACATTCCTGACACCGTGACACCCCTTCTGCGGAGCCCAACTTGATACAGATGATCTCGCTTTCTGTGCTCCTCTCCCAAACTGCTGGCCCCTCCTCTGTACTGTGAATTCCTTGAAGTCATTTCAAGGCCAACTTGCATGGGGGTCCTGCAGCCATCCTTCCAGCCCTGGGCCCTGTGTCTGTACTTTCTGTCCTTGCACCTGCCAGAATGAAGCACTGGGACATCATCTAGTTCCCCAGAGGAACCCTGTGCCCCAAGTAGCCATATGTAGTTCAGAACTGACCCAGGGTTTTGTGAGGGAAGTGGGGAAGGGAGATGGACGCGTTGCACCACACAGCGAGGCCCCTGCTGTCTCTCCTGCCCAGTGTCCCTCTGGATTGTGCCGGGTGGACATCAGGGAGGTTCCTTCCTGCCCTTGTGCAGCACCCCTCTGTGGCCAGCCCTTCCACCTCCACCGGGCAGTGCTCGCCTCACCCTGGCCTCATTTTAGTGCACCTGGCTCAGCACCACGAGGCCCCCCACAACCTTTGCATGCCCTTCGCTGCCCTGCAAGCCCCCAAGCTCACTGTCAGCAGCCTGTTTCTTCAAGTTATCTGCGGTGTATACCCAGAGGGGAACTTGGAGAAATGAAATCGTCATCCGTCTTCTACATTTAAAAGTCAGTCCCGCTGCCGGGGCCTCCCGGGTGTTCAGTCCTCTTCGTCGTGTTGGGTAGACCTCGCACATCCCTGGAACACAGCTCCTCAGCACTGGCTGGGAAAGTGTGGGAGGAGAGCTGGGAGCCCCAGGGAAATGYGCAGGCCACCGACATTGGCCAGGGGTCCTCTAACGTGACCACCAGGTGATGCTCGTTCTCCTCTAACACGCCAAGCACRCTACTGGACATGTGTGCCCCCGCACACACCAAGCAGCAGAATCTCACTGAGATCCCCACCCTGAGGACCTGGGGTGTGGACGGGCTCCCCCGTAGGCAGCCATATTCCTGGGGCTGCACTGAGGGACACCTTGAGGGGGCAGCAGATGGCTTAGCGGGAGGAGGGTCGGTCCCTGCTGCAGAAGGCGTCCCACTCGCCACCCGCGTACGTCACTCCACCGTCTCAGCCTCGGCTTTCCTAGCGGCCGAGTGGCCAGAAGCACCTGCCTTGGACAGTGATTCAGCGACTCTGACGGCTGCGGGAAAAGAATCGGGCATCCRGGAGGTCCCTGTCCTCCTCACTCCTTCCTGCGCCCCTCCTCCCCTGGTAACACAGAGTGACTGTAACTCCTGGTGACAAATGGAGCAGCCACTCCCGAGGCCCTGATGTCACCGTGTCCCTGCCCCAGAGGCCTGGAGGGGACTCCACCTGTGCCTGCAGCTACTCTGCCTCCAGTGGCCTCTCCTCTGCCTTCATCCCTTCATGGACACCCCGCCCCCGCAAGGCCACCTGCACCGCTTCTCCCTGGCTCCTGGGACAGCAGTGGCCCTCAGCCCTGAGCCCTCTCAGAGCTCACGGGGGCCCTTGGCCACCCCCAGAGCCCTTGCTTTTGTCCCTTTTCCCTCCAAAATGTCTTGGCCACTTGCCTGACTTTGTCACCACATGCCCCACCTGAGCCCTGGACTTTTTGTTTTAAAGGCCCTTGTCACCACATTTGGATGTTTTAAATGCGAACTTACGAGTCCTGGAAGATGTTTCATATGTAAAATTAAATGCTCCTGAAGTGATTTGGCCTTGGCCTCCTTCACTAGGTCAGTCTGTGACTGGTTTAGACCCAGCATTTTGCCTCACGGGTATTTTAAGACTCACATCTCATGTTAGTGCCGTGTCTTTGACGTCTGTTTGCACTATGGAGTTAATGAAGTATTGGCGGCAGTTTCAAGTGTTACTGGATCACTTGCATTTCTAGTGTCACTCGCGGCCAAGTTAAACTATGGTGGCTCGAGTTACTATTTTGTTTGGAAGGCTAGAGGAAATCTGCTGTCCTTGAATCTGGGGTCACCACATGACGTGGCAGAGTATGACAGTGCACCTAATCTGCTGGCAGACAGAGAGCACTGGGAGCCTCGGCACGCTGCCCCGTGGGGCTATTAGCAGGGTGTGTTGGGAGGAAGCAGGTGAGTTCTGACGGGTTTAAACCTGGACTTATTCTGGTTTTTGTTGTTGTTGTTATTATTTTTAGAAATTAGCCATAAAGAGCATGCCCTTCGAAGAGGCTATTAAATTAATCCAGATTGCTGAGCGGGCGCGGCAGGGCCGCCTGAGAGCCCTGTTCATGAAGCAGATATACCTCCAGGAATTCAGAGCAAAGCAGGCCCGGCTGCTCGGGGAGAAGGTTGCTGATGCGGGGGCTGCCGCACTCCGCATCCAGAAGGTACGAGCCAATGTGGGGCCCCCAGAGCTGGGGGGAGCATCCTACGCAGGTAGAGATCCTTCCAGTTCAGGGGGTGAGTGCTGAAAGTCAGAATCCCCAAGTCCTACCTTTGGTAGAGCTGGATTCCATTAGTGAATTCCAGAAAGATGTGTTAATGATCACCCTGGGGAAACTGGGAACTAAACTTCGTCATATGTAATTTTTTAAAATTCTAAATAAGTGTTAAACACAGAGTATTTTATTCAAATATTTTTTAAAAAACCACTCATAATTGTTGGACAAATGTTGCTAAGACTCAGTGAGGACATAAATCCTTAATGGATTTTTAAAAATATATTCATGCATAGACAATTGGCCACCTGGCACTAGCAACCATCTCTAAAGACAGAACAGTGACAGTGCCGTCCCTTCCAGGATTGGCCCCAGGGCTCTCCCCCGACAGCTGGGTGCTTCTCCATGGAGGTGGAAGCTGGAGCCGAGCGTCCTGGGCGCCTCCGGGCTGTATCTCCCCGTGTTCCTTTGGAATTTTTCTTTTGAAACTCTGAAGTGCCACCCTTAGACCTAGCCCCACACTCCTGCCATCGAGAAGTTTCTCTTGAGAAACCCCAGGTAGAGGAACTTCACAAAGGAGAGCAATCGCTCACTTCTGTGATGTGATTTTTTTTTCCTTTCAAATATTTTGGCCTACAATCACATACAGAAAGAGCCCGTCAACACACCCGTGTGCCGCCTGGGGTCTCTGATCCTGTGACCTCTGGAAGGTGCCGTTAGGCAGGAGAGTGTGTGGCAGGTCTCCTCTGTCCAGTGTTAAACAGGCGGACGTGCTTTTCCTCCCAGGTCTGGAGGGGTTTCTGCCAGTCCAAGAGGACCGAGAGAGAGAGAGAAGAGGAGATGATATTCCTGGGCATGGTGAGTGTGCTTGTCGACAGGACCTGGTTCTTAGGCAGCACACTCAGGAAGGCGAGTCTTCCCTGGCTGTCCCTGCCTGGCCACTTCATGAGTAGGAAGAGGGGAGACTGAATTGATGGTTTGGGCCAGAGTGGGGCTGTGGTCTTCGCCTGCCTGTGTGTAAGCCTCAGCTCCTCATCTGCATCCCTTCCCTGCTGTCTAGAGATCACTCAAGGGACAGCTGACCCAGCAAGTCCATTAGTGCAGCCTCGTTGACCTCCCGAGGCCCCTCCTGTCTGCCCCGGTGGCTCTCCTCTCCCCTCCTGCCTGCCTCTGGTCTGTGCTGGGGTACTCTGCTGGAGGAAGGAATCAGGTCCATGTTCCAGCAACGTGGAAGCACCCACTCTCTGGGTGAAGGACGCAGTGTCCCTGTGTTCACAGAATCTCAAATCAAGARCTTCCTGCTCAACAAACACAGGAAGTCACACCAGAGTAGTGCAGGATCCCACAGATGCCTTCATTTTATTACCTGGTTCTCGAGTTTCCTCGACCTTGCCGTTTTAAAAACAAGCCAGCGTTGATGTTTAGAGATGGGGTCCCCCTTGGGCTCCAGCCCATTCCTTGCTTTTCGGCGGCTGGGGTTGCTACCAGAATCTGGTGGGTTGGCAYCTGCTGCTGGTTTAGAAATTCACTGGGTAGAATATTATTCAGCCATGGAAAGGAAGGAAGTTCGTCACACATGCYAGAGCGGTGAGCCTTAAGGACACTGTGTCCAGCAAAATAAGCCAGTCACACAAAGGCAGATACCCCACTCTTCAGTCCCCTGAGGTATCCGGATGGACACAGCCATGGGCACAGCATGGAGTGGTGGCTGCCAGGGCCTGGGGCAGTGGACATGACATCAAATGTCYAGTCTCTGTGTGCAGGTTAGGTCCTAGTGCCCCGTGAACTAGTTTACCCTACTTAACCCCTACCCACACTAAAGCAAGGTCAAGATAGGAGATTTTAAGTCATGTGGGTATTTTTTCCCCATAATTGAAATGTTTTTAAATGTCCACTGGGCCATTGAATTATACTGAAATGATTCTATGTGGATCTCAGCTACTTGCAAACTAAAAATTAAACAAGCTGCTCCTGTAGTCCACTGAATCTCCGATGTCTTCAACTGTAAGATGCATTGTTATTTTTAGGGGCCACTAAGAAAAAAGGGYTTTTAAATAAACCAAAGCACACCCTTCATTGTAAGATGCATCCGTCCCTAATTTCAGAACCATTAAGTGGTGAAAAATCTACATCCTAACACTGGTGGAACAGGGAGAGTTGTATCTGTCATATTAGGCAAAATAAGAAGGCTTGACAATTAGGGTCATTGGCAATGTGACGAGCTTGTCACATTGCCCCAGCCTTTCTGAAGGCCAGGGAGCCGGTGCAGCTAGAGCCTTAAAATATTTACATGTCCACCTTGACTTCTGTTTCCAACCTAACACATCATCAGAAACAGAGATCTGGCTGCAGAATAGTTCTCTGCCGTATTCTTTCTAATACCAAAAAAAAAAAAAAAAAAAAAAGAAAAGAAAACGGAAATGGCCAATTCTAGTGTTCTAGAGCAGGTGTGTAGTGAATCATGGTGGCCTTACACAAGACGGTGCTGTGCCGCACCAACACTACAAAACACATTTCTGACTAGTGTTTGATGATGCAAAAATGCTCAAAGTCGAAATTCGGAGTTTGGAATTCTAGCATGACTTCAGCTAAGGGGACACTGAGAGCCAGGTGTGTGCCCAGGAGAGGCACCTGCCGAGTCAGTGGGGCTCATGTTTCAGAGGGTGTCTTCAGAAGATGTTGGTATTTTCTAAACTGGTCAGCATTTACTCTGTGAACCAGAAAACACACACTTCTTAGAGTAAAAGCAGATGGCAGTGAGRTGACATCCGTATTCCCAAGATCTCCAGATTGCTTGGTGCGTGTGGATGGGTGGATGCTTAAGRAGACGGCAGCGTGAGCGTGATTCGGGGTGGGGGGCATGGATATGGGACGTGAGGGTAAGCGTGGTAGTTATGTCTAGTTTTCTATTTTAAAAATCAAATTGCAGTCAAAATATTTGGTATAAAGTTCTCCAGTGGAACAAGAAATTGTACATTAGCTGCAGTTTTTGATGGTTTTTTTACCCAAATGGAGCACAACTTTCATTTCTCCGATTGCACTGCAAATTGGTGCCACCACTCTGGGAAGCAGCATGGAGATTCCTCAGCTGCAGTTGTGACTCGGCAACTTCTGTTTAAATAAATTTCCATCTCCTTGAACTCGGTCTGCGTTACCCAACAGCCACCGTGCACCTCGTGCCACAAACCTGGGCAAAGGCCGGGCATGACTGTCTCACCCTCAGGTCCCGCTAGCTGACACTGATAGCACCTGAGGGTGGGATCCCACGTGGCTGGGTTTTCCAGTTTTCCTTTGTCACTTGCATGTGCATCGCTGGGATGAAAACTGAGCAGGAGCAGGGCCTGTTTGTGTTCCCCGTGACGTTCCTCAGCGTGCTTCTTCTGCGTCCCCCTTGAGAGCACGTGGTCTGTCGGAATCTTACTCGTGAGAAGACTATGATCCAGCTTTTAAAGGATCGCTGCCTGCTGCTCACTGCCTGGAGGCCATCAAGCATCCATTCCCCACCYGAGGCGGCTTCCGTGGAATGATTCCCGATGGTCCCCGATGAGGAGACGGCCTGCCCTCTTTACCCTTGGTTTCTCCGTCGGCTCATGCTGCTCACTGTGCAGGGTGAAGCCATCGACTCACAGGTCAGAGCTGCCTCCCCACCTCTGGGAGGCCCTGGCGTGTCCTCAGGAGCCGCTGTTGGGCAACAGAGCCCAGGATTAGAGCAGAAGACGCCAGAAGGCCCCAGGGCGCCCCACGTTTCCTTTGTCTTATGAAGGATATTTTTTATACGGCCACTTAAATGATTTAGATTCTAAAATCTAGGCAGGAAAACAAATAGCGCCCTGAACTCTCCTGCACCGTCGTTTTRATTGGCAGAGCCAGTGGAGCCAATTGAGTCCAAGGAGCTTGAAGGGCGCACYGCGCTTCACCCTGCGCATCTCGGCAGGCACACGTCCTGTGTTTTGTTACCCTGCGGCCATCGAAGTGTGCACTTTAATGAGGAGCACTGGGGGGCACTCATTAAAGAGGGCCATCGCTTCTGCACGCTCCTGGAAGCGCCACACCACCCTGCTCACTTCAGGCCCCACCTGAGACTGGCTACAGCCTACATGACATCTTGGCCAATAAATCAGACCCCTTTCTTGTTAGCAAATAACCCCCGATCSGAGCTCTGGCCCCCAGTGATTGTGGCTCCTTCTGAGGGCCTGTGGCACGGTGGCCCCAAGCTGCCTCCCCAACAGTGTCCTTGGGCTCCTCTCTGGGACCTGCCGTCATGCACAGCCAAAATGGGCAGAGGATGTGGATGAAGCCCTTTCAGCACCACCCTGAAGCCCAGCCAGGACCAMGCAGTCCATCGGATCCTGCAGATTATCTGTCACATTTGGCTCCAAATGACATTCGATTGTTTCCCAAAGATTAATTGATTCCCAATAAGCAGTTTGTGCTGTGACCCTGGGTTTTGCTTTGCTCTTGTTTGGTTCTAGCTTTTGAGTGCAGAAGAGCTGTTCCCGAGCTTCCTGGGGAGGCAGTGCCCGCCGTGGGGGTGTCTCTTGACCAGCTCGAAGGGCTTGTGCTGCCGCAGACGCTGCAGGGGAGCCAGGCCACGGGAGCCAGGCCGGGGGTGCCAGCGGGCACTGCCCCGTGGAGGAGCTTGAGCAACGTGCCCACCCGCCCTGCGACCTCAGCCTCCTCTCCTGGGAGGTCACAGCCGTGCTGCCTTCTGCAGAGGTGGGGGAGGACTCGATGAGAGTCAGTGGCTGAGGCCTAGGTGGCAGCCAGGACAGACTGCACCTTCAAWGACCGGGTCACGGAAAACTGTGTCACGGTGTCATGATGTGGAATGACTTTTAGAATGGTAATTGGCATCTAGAGGTATGATAAATTTTCTAACAAATTGCAAATCTTTTAAAATGAGTTCCTGCATAAAATACATGGGCAAAGGCCGTGGCCCCCTGTGAACCACCATGTCTGTGACGTGGAAATCACTGTTGACGTTGGCTCTGGAAAAGCCCCAGGGCTGCCTCCCACCTGCCGCTCCCTGACCCAGCCCGGGGAGCTTCCTGGGGCTGCCTGAGGCAACAGCTGCAGCCCCACACAGTCAGCTCCGGGTGACGCCCGGGAGGAAGTGTCAGATGCCACCAGCGTCCCTCCTGGAACAGCTGTCCTCGAAACCCCACAGGCATCCTGGCGAGGAGGCCGGAGCTCCAGGGGGGCTCCCTGGAGAATCTCGACCTCAGAAGCTCACTTCCAGAGACTCAGAGAGTAAAGGAAAATCTTACAGCCTAATTCCCTGGGAACCCTGGAGTGTGATTTCAAGTCTGATTTTAATTTTTATTATGTCTTCTTATAATTGTTGTTATTGATATGCTTAATTTTTGCCCCAGGCTCCAGGTCATGGAATCTAAATAGCGAAACTCGTTGCCCTCCCAGGTCCCCTGGCCCCAGGAGCCCTTYACCTCACTCTGGGGCAGGACACCTGCCTTTATTGGTCCCCTGCAAGGGCACATCGCACAGTCCCTGGTGCACTTGGGAGAGTGGCCAAGGCCGAGGCCTGGAGGCAGAGYGCGTGCTGACCCCAGCACTGAGCCGGCCGCACTGTGAGCCCCGCACCATGGCTTCTGTACRTCTGTGCCAACAGGGACGCGGTGGCTGCTGGCTGGGTTCGAGCCAGGCCGGCACGGCCAGCACTGGAGAAGGACCAGCCGTGATTCCTAAGTGATCGCATCGTGAGCCTGCCACATCATGCACCTTCAGACATGGTGACCAGGTGCCGTTTAAGTTAGAAAAGGGCAAGGCACCCAAACACGCGCACTGTCACCCTGACCAAGAGAGCCAAGGGTGCAAGGCTGGTGAGGCAGCCTAGCAATAGCCATTAAAATCACAAATGCTCATTTTTTAAGAAAGCATGATTTATAGTGCCCGCCAAACGCCATCTTCAAAGAGCATTTTAATTCAGGAAACCTGCCCGCAAAGAGGAGCCAAGCATGGTGCTGGGGCTTGTGCAGGTAKGTCACAGCGGGTCCCACTGTATGTRCGATCAMCACACACCAATAAAAACAGTTGGGAACAAGAACAGAGACTGGAGATAGATGGCTCAGACCAAACCCCAGTCTGCTACTTCTGGGCTGTGTGACTTTGGGCAAGTCACCAGACTTCTGTGTGCCTGTTTCCTCATATATAAAATCAAGTAATGAGGCTACTTACCTCATAAAGTTGCCATGAGGAATAATGACATAATACCGGTGAGGCACTTAAAATCATGCCTGGCAAATCACAAGTGCCCTCAAAGTATCTATTAAAAACAATTTTAGCCAGGTGCAGTGGCACACACCTATAATTCCTCAGGCTAGGGAGGCTGAGGTAGGAGGATTACAGATTTGAAGACAGCCTCAGCATCTTAGTGAGGCCCCAAGCAACTTACTGAGACCCTATCGTAAAAGAAAAAAGAGAAATTAAAACGGGCTGAGGATGCAGCTCAGTGGTCAAGCACCTCTGGGTGCAATTCCTGGTACCAAAAAGAAAAGAAAAAAGAAAGCAGGACCCGATTACATCTCCACCACTAATTGATCATAAGTCCAGCTCTACTACTTTGGCTCAAGTTCCTAAAAAAGCAAAATTTTCAGATGCTGGGAGTTTTTTTGTCTTGTTTTTGTTTTTTAAAAATCAGACTTAATGAACTGGAAAAACACTTGAGGTCTCTGGTAGTTCTGTATTTGCTAAAATTGTGGATTCTAAAACAAAGGTCCACCCTGGGGACGCTGGGCTCCTGCTGCCGCAGCCTCTGCGCTCCCCGGGGCCGTCTGTGTGACCCGCACAGATGCGCGGTACCTGTGCTGCCCGGAAGGAAAYGCAGGGCCAGGTGGCTGGTTTCTGTCAACTGTGGCACCCCCCTCTGCACCATCTCGAAACGGACCCCCGAAGTCCTCCGTGTGCCGTCAGAGCCGAGGCGTGGGGCACCCGCCCCGGAGGGCCGAGCTCGCGTCTCTGTGCCCGCGAGGACCCAGGCACAGCCGGTCAGTGTCTGCACAGAGCGGGTGAGAGGTGGCTCTGGGTGGCCATGAGCCAGGGATGGCGCCCCCTCCTTGCTCCAGCTTTGTCGCCAGTGTCCCCGCCCCAGGAGCGCCTGGAGGAGCTGCCAGCGTCCTCAGCCCTGAGTGCACGTCCACTGGGGACTGAGAGATGGAGCAGCATTTCATTTGGACAAATGTCCATTCCGTCTTCCTAATTTGAAGAAGGAGTTTTAAAGACAAAGCCCATCAAACATTAGCTAAGCATTTTAAGTTAATGGACCGTGCCGTGCTATTTGCCCACAGACTCAGGAAGCCCTGCGTTATTTTACAGCAACATCAATTATTAATATGTATATTTTTGCTGACAGAGGACCTTGCTATAAATGTAGGTTTCGTTATCCCGTTCTGGGTCATTAACAGTGGAAAGCTTGTAAATATAATGGTTTATTCACAAGGGAAGCCTTCATTAAGATGCATCGTTCTATAGCTGATGCGTTTCAATATAGAACATGTTATTGTGTTCTCTGGCTCCCTTTAACATTCCTAATTTATTTTTAAATGAGTTGCTGTTCTACCACGAGTTAACACATTCGAATTCCATATGACCAAAGTTGCTAAAGAGGAAAAGATGTCGTAGCCTAAAGGAAGAGGTGCTCATTAACAAGGGACCTAAATGCATTATAACCTTTCGATTCAAAACCAACTGGAGAAGGAAGCCCCAAATGACCAAATGCATTTCCTTGTCAGAGAAAGTCGACATTAAGAAACACACAGAGATGCACACACATTAACCACACAGCATGGCGTGGCAGCAGGCAGAGCCACRGGAGCCAGGGACTTCCTGCTGGCTCCTTACTTGACACCGAATGATGAAGAAGGTGTGGTCCACTTTGAACCTCTGTCTCCTCATCCGTTCAGTGGGCTCCCCATGTGAACATCAATAAGGTGAAGGAACATGTGGGGCTGCAACCTGATGGCTGTTCAGTGTGGCTGATAGGAAGTGCCGCGGGAGCCGAGTGGTTTCTGTTTGGACTGTGGATGTTGAGCAAGTTTGCCGATCTCCTCTTACAAAGCTATTGAGAGGACGTGAACCAGACTCGCCTGCTGGGTCCCGGCTGTGAGGAAGGAGAGCGGAGGGGCCAWGCAGCCCAGTGAGGACCCACCTGGGAGGGGACCTGCGGAGGATGACAGGAGCCGCGTGACTTGGTGGAGGTGGCTTCACGGGACTCACCCCAGCAGAGAATCATCTCAGTGGAGACCTGGGAACATGACCATGCGCCTTCAGGGGCGGAATCAAGACCAACTGTCCCCTTCACAGTAACAGGCTTAAATCCACAGCTTTGCGGGTGGCTTCTGTGGGCTCTCGCTCGCTGCCACGTTCTTGCCCACAGCTCTGAAGTGGACGGACTTTAGTTCTGCTCTCTTGCCCCCACGATTCTGGATGCCGTCGCCAGGTGGCCGTCCTGGGCTCCGCCCGCCTGCTGGCTGGTGCCGCCTGGCACAGAGACAGCCAGCCCAGTAGGGACGGCGGCAGGGGCTCCCGGGCCCAGGCCCTGGGGTTCTGTCCTGGGGCTTCTGCAGAGAGTCCCACTCAGTGTCGCAGGGAGCGGCCACCACGGAGGGGCAAGGTGACGGGCAGAGCAGGGGCCACAGAGGGGCAAGGTGACGGGCAGAGCAGGGCCCACGGAGGGGCAAGGTGACGGGCAGAGCAGGGAGCGGGTGCCACGGAGGGGCAAGGTGACGGGCAGAGCAGGGAGCGGGTGCCACAGAGGGGCAAGGTGACGGGCAGAGCAGGGAGCGGGTGCCACGGAGGGGCAAGGTGACGGGCAGAGCAGGGAGCGGGTGCAGGGCACCGTGCGGGGGCTGTTGGAAGCTGTGGAGCAGCGCGCAGCTAGGACACAGGCTCTGAGGGAGGCTTGTGGAGGGGACCCGGGCCAGGACAGGAAGAGGCTCCTGGTGGGTGGCCTTCCATCCCACAGCAGCAGAGACAAGGGACCCCAACAGCATGGCCAACGGGGACGGGACCTGGGGTGGAGGAGTGGAGTATTGAGAACTCGTTTCATGAATGAGCTCGAGGATCAGCTTATGATTCAGGATTCAAGAATAGCCGTTTAACAACCAGCTGGCACACCCCTGAGAACGTGTCCCCTGGCCCTCGGCAGCCTCGGCCTGACCTCCCGGCGGATCTCAGAACCTCCAGAGCTCGGTCCTGTCCACCAAGGAGAGCCGGCCCTCGGCCCTCGGACTGATTCCAGGTGCCCCAGCCCCAGACGCGCCGTCCTTCTCCGAGACCTCRCCCCGCATCCCCTGCAAGCCCTGGGCAGCAGCTGACGGCTGCGTGAGCCTGTGCCCCGCCCTGGCTCGTGCTGACCTCGTCCCACCAGCCCCACTTCTTCAGGAGTCTGAGGGGACGTGACTGTGCCTTTGCCCCTGCCAGCCCCCTGCAGAGGCGGATCTGCGGGGCTCAGCACCTCTGGGTGCTCTGCTGCCAGTTGAGGTGCCAATGGGTGGGTCTAGTGGGTTTCAAGGGAGAACGTCCACTGAAAACGCTCACTACCACAGGATGCCTGTCTGCTGTGTCATTTCCTTCCCCGGAGGTTGGTAGCGACGGAGTGGACGTGTTCAGTGTCTTCTTTCTTGAAATCAGAGCACTTCAGCTCCTTCCTCAGGTTCTGGCTTCCAGTGCCTTCTTCCTCTACATTCCCTGTCCTCCGACTGACCGGGAAGCGTGGTCAAATTTTTCTTTCCATAGTGTGAAGGCATTTGTAGACGTCTCATTGAATGTGTAGCATTACTGTGACAAAATACCTGAGGAAATCCACTTGAAAAGGTAGAAGGTTTATTTGGGCACAATGTTCTGGATGTTTCAGTCTATGACTGATGGGCCCTTGCCTTGGGCCTCTAGGGAGGCAGCACGTCGTGTGCTGGGCCACGGAGCCAAACCACTCACCTCACAGCCAGGAGCAAAAGAGAGAAAGGAAGGGCTGGGGTCCCTCAGTCTCCTTCAAGGRCACACTCCCAGGGAGYGCCACCGGGCCCACCTCCTGGAGCTCCACTGCCACTTGGTGGTGCCTCCTGGGGACCCAGAGTCTATCGCTGGGCCTCTGGGGGCATTCGTGGGCCAGCACTGGATGGACGCGTCCCTAGGCAGCCGGCCCCTGCATCTGGGCAGCCGTGTGGAGTGAGCCCCGTGTCCCCCCAGGGGTGGGCCACCTCCTGAGGCTGCTGCCAGGCCTGGTCTTGGATTCTGGGCGTCTCCAAGGTGCCTTTGGAAGGACGCCACCGAGGACCTCTCAGTGCTGTGGCTTACAGTCTCCCCCTCTCTCTCCCCTTCTCAGAATCCCCCTCCTTTCTTCGACCAAGTCAGTGCCACCATCAGGCAGGCGGAGAAGGTGAACCTGCTGCGCAGCGCGGTGCAGCTGCGGCACGAGGAGGGCTACAGGGAGGCCCTGGTGACCATCAAGAACGACCTGCAGCAGACGGAGGGCCCGGACATCAAGGAGAGCCTGCGGGATCAGATCCGGCAGTGGTTCATCGAGTGCAGGTGAGCGGAGTCCGTGCGCCCACCCACGTCCCTCCGAGGCTGAGCCGCTGGCACGTTTTAACTCAGACACACACGGAGGGTCGGGGGTGCCTTAGCAGGACGGAGGCCTCCGGGCGAAGCCTTCAGAAGTCAGCCTCTCCTCCTTTGTGACGATGTCCTGTCCTGCTCTCGGCTGGGGTGGAATACAGTCCAGATAGTGCTTCTGTGACCACAGAAGTAGGACAGGATGGGGACACGGCCCACCCTGGGAGGGCCCCGTTCTCAGCTGGGCCTGGCTGAGGTCCAGGCTCTCAGACCCCGGCCCTGGAGAGGGGGTCGGCAGTTCTGGGGCGAGGCCCGGCAGCCTGGTGTCCCAAGGGTCTTGAGAGGGTCCTCCGTGGAGTGCTCAGTGACCAGGTTCCCAGGGGCCTTCCTCGGGCACTTCCACGGGGGGAGGCACTGCCCGTGACCCTCCTGACAGCTCTCGGGTCTGTGTCATCCAGGAGGAGGGGAGGGCGGCTGGCGGTCCCCCTGGGCTCCCTGCTCTTGAGTAGGGGGCACATCCTGGCCCTGACACCTGCGCTGGCCAGCTGACCGGGACGGGCACTGAACTGTTCGGGTAGAGAAGCCTGACCTCCACTTGAAAATCATGACRTGACCCCTGTGGTGGGCGGGCTCTGGGCTGCCCAGGGACTCGGGTGTGGTCTACACTGCGTGACTCACTTGAGGAGAGTACAGCAGAAGCTGGGCTCTCACGCCCACACCCTCCTGTCGGCTCAGAGGAGTCCCTGCCTGAGAGGCCCAGGGGAGAGGCCTGGGACCGAGGGAGGCTCCCAGGGCCTCCTTCCAGCAGCCAAGAGTTGAGTCCCACCACGGCCACCCGTGTGGACCTGGAGGGGGAGGCCGGGGTGACCGTCCTGGCCGAGGCTCCGATGGCGGCTGTGTGGGCTGGAGGCAGAGGCGCCCCACAGAGCCACATGGGCCCATCCCTCAGGGGCTGTGGCACAATCCATGTTGGCTGTTCCCACCACTGGGTCTGGGGGTTACGTGTCGTCTTGGCGTTTCCTGCTGTCGTAACAGAGCGCCTCCYGCTGGGTAGATCATGAACCACAGAAGTTTGTGGGCTCAGTAATGGAGACTGGGAGTCGAGGCTGGAGAAGCGGCCTCCAGTGAGGCCTTCTTGCTGCGCCATCACTGGGGGAGGGTGCCACGTGGTGAGAGGGACAGGGCCAAGCCAGTCCTCCACAACCACCCGCTCCCGACAGCCCACCTGCTCCCCTGGTAGGAGCGTGGGGGCCCGACCTCCTCCTGAAGACCCCCTCTGTCCACACGGTGCCTCCGTGCATTCTGGTGGGGACAGACCCCAGCCCTTGTACCTGAGTCGGTCATCCCGTGACCTAGGAGGCTGTCGGCTTCTGTGCTGCCCTACGTGGGGTCTAGCCGCCGTCTCCTTGATAACACTTAGAGGTCCTGGCAGGTCTTCTTGGTTTTCATCTATTTATTCTCGTGTATGTATGACAGTGAGATGCATCACAGTTGTTAAAGGTCACACGCACAGAGCTCATCTGTTCACCGCTCTGGTCGCACACACAGTGTGTTCACACCACTCGGGCCTTCGTGCCTGTACTGGGTGGTGCTGATCCTCACAGTCCACGTCATTCATCAGGGCCATGGGGCGGGTTCTCTTTGATGCGACACGGCAKGCTTTCGCCGGGGCCGTCCCTTCCTGTGAGTACCCTTTCCAAACATTTGATGGTGTCCCGGGTTCCGAGTGACGACCTGGTGGGCGTCTCTCCGTGTCTCCCTCRGGGTGCTTTATAGCAGACCAGGGCTCATCCCGCGTCCCCTGCACGGGGCTCCTCACGGGAGGACTCAGGAGTCGCGCAGGTTGCTTCTGTGGTGACGGTCAGCGGGGAGGAGGTGCAGGCCGGCCCGTGGCCCTCTCCCTCCTCCCTCAGTCTCCTCCTCATCTGTCAAAGCCCACCACACTCGACCCTGGACCCACACCAGTCGATTGTGATGAACCAGAAGAGCTGCAGGGAAGGGAGCAGTCCTGGTGGTGGGTCAGAAAATGCCACGGCTCCCCGCAGCCCACAGCACCGGCCAGCACCCCGCCAGCCCTGTCCTCGGCTCCCGCTCCCGTCCCGGTGCAGGAGAAGCCGGCATTGGCCAGTCACAGGGAACCCTGTCCCTTCCCGTCTGAAGTAGCCCTTAGGCCTGGGTCGGACGTCCCTGTTGTTCTTTCCCTCTGGCATCTGACGGCAGAGGGAGGCGAGGACTCCTCCGCCCACCAGTGCACCCAGGCCAAGAAGGAGCAGCCTCCAGGCACTCAGGGTCAGCCAGCAGCAGGGACCATCCTGAGAAAAGCATCCCGAGGCACATCACCTGTCCCACCAGCATCGTGGGGTGCCATGCAGACCCGGGTGGTGTAGACCTTACTGCCCTCGGCCACTCAGGCTGAGTGCCCACATGGGGCCGCCTGTCACCCTAGGACCAGGGCGGGCGGAGCAGCCACCACTGAGTCTTCAGCTCCAGCAGGAGAGAAGGTGATACAAGAGGGGGACAGCGCGCACCGGGTCCTGGAGGCCACTGCGGGTGTGACACAGCAGACTTCTTTATAAGTAAAGCGGGTGTGCCCGAGGGCTGGCTGTGGCTCAGAGGCTGAGCACTGGCTGGCAGGGTGAGGCCCTGGGTCCCACCCCGGCCCCACAAAATGACAGACCAGAAGAGAGGTGCTGTGAACTGGGGGGCTCCTGGGGCAGTGAGCGCGCAGGCCGGCCCGTGGCCTTGCTGGCGTCCCTCTCTGCCAGGCCTCGTCTCTGCTCGGTGTCTGGAGCACGTGGGTTGTGGACACGGGCCTCACCCCCAGCACAGGAAGAACTTGAGGCACGATGACCTCAGCACGGCGGCGACACCCGGACGGCGTGGTCTGTGCTCTGCCTCCTGTGGCTCCATCATTGACCCCAGAGTCCTGACTGGACAGTCCCCATGCCCCAGCTGGCTCCTCAGGCACTGAGCTGCAGGCCACCTGTCCCTGGGGACTCCCTTCCACAGCCCTTGGCTTCTGCCTGGTGTCCCAGTCCCTGGGCACCCACTAGTGTGCCCTCTGTGTCAGAGCCCACCCTGCTGGGTAGGGTTCTGCTGGACCTCACGTCCACCCTGAGCACAATGACAGTGCCACACCCAGGCCCCAGGGGACCGTCCAGCAAGGCCTCTCCACTCACCACACTCGCCCCACGTCGTGCCACACAGTCAGAAGACGGGCAGTGCCCGATGCCCACCGGTGGCCCTGTGCACCGCCCYGCTCCATGGTCATCCACAGCCAAGCTGGCAAGGACTCGGTGCACGTCCCACTCATTCACCTCCCTTCCCACTGCCCACACTCCTCACGGCCTGTTGCTCCCGATGACAGTGACAGTGCCACCCCCCCCCCGACTGCTTCCTCCCCTCTCCTCCCGCTCCCCCTGGAGCTGAGAAGCCACCTGGCTCCCCCGGGGGCACTTCTGCAGAATGATTCAGAAGGCAAACTGGATCCTTGCTTCCCGCGAAGCGCCGTGCAACCTCGGGCAAGTCTCTCAGCTTCTCTGGGGTCAGCTTCGTCCTCTGTGATCCAGGACAAGGATGGTGCCGTTTCTGGGGTGTTTAGGACTTTTCTCACTAAGTAACCACCTGCTCCGCACACGCGCCCTCTTGCACGAGGACTGCAGCCCCAGCCCGGCCCTAGGAAGACAGAGCCACATCAGTTTCCCAGCAGCAGGGGCAGTGCCGTGATGGGGTCACGGGCTCTTCACCCATGACTCTTCACCACCCACCTGGCTGTGTCTGCAGAAACGCACTCGGGATGGTTGTGTGCAGTGGCAACCAGGAAATTTAGGTAGAAAGGCTTTGCTTCAGAAGACCTGAGCCTTCTGATGAAAGCACATGGATGTACAATTAAAACCTTCACTTTCATAGTTGATGGGATCATGTGCCCCATGTCCATGAGCTTCTGCTATCAGGGGTTCTCCTCTCCWGATATGCCAGAGAACAAGCATTCAATGTGTTTCCCATGAAATGACTCTGTATTTTTAACAAATATTTTAAATTCCAATATATTAAGTGACAAAGCYAAGTTGAAAGTGCTGGGCACAGTTGTAAGCCCAAATAAGTTAAAATATACAGTACCCGTCCTTGTCTGTGGGACACAGTCCAGAACCCCAGYGGATGCCTGAGACCGTGGACGGTATCAAACCCTGTRCCTGCTCTGCTTTCATCCCGACACTGCATAGCCATACAGCAAAGTTGACTATATAAATTAGGCCCAGAAAGACCAACAACTAATAATAAGACATACCGTGTAGARTAAGGTGCCACACAATAAAACTGTCAGCATCGCTACTCCTGAATTTTGAGACCAGTATTAGGTAACATAGGGGTCCCTGGAACAYAGCCCTGCAGAACTGCAGTGGCCCCTCTGACAACCAGAGGGCGGGTAGCATATGCAGTGCGGACCTGCTCAACAAAGGCATGAGTCACGCCCAGGTGGGGCCGCCCACGGCCCAGTAATTCATCCTGCTACTCAGAATGGCGCACAGTTTAAAATTTATCAATTGTTTATTTCTGGAATTTTGCACTTAATATTTTCAGACTGCAGTTGACAGCAAGTAATTGAAACCAAAACCATAGAAAAAGAAACTGCAGATCAGCGGGGGCTACCGTAGCCACAAACACATTTGGCTTATTAAATGGGTGTTTGTACCTGCGTGAGAAGCCTCTGGAAGGGCACACCAGAAGCGGCAAGCCTGCTGTCTCCAGGGACAAGAGTGGTAGGACTGCATTTTATTTCACATTCTTCTATACTATGAGAAGCCTTGTGTTTCAATAAGTATCATTTTACAATAAAAACCTGAGTTAAAAAAAAATACTAAAAAAAAAGAGAAAGGCAATCCGTTTGGGCTGATTATGAATTTCTTATGCACCCTGGCTTTAGAGAGGCAGATGACGGATGTACACCACCCTCTGGTGCAGAGTAGGTGGACATG